TTGAGGTAGGTGTAGTTCGGGATCGCCGTGAACTTGGCATAGCACGGGCGCCCTAGGATAGCGTGATAAGTCCCCTTGAACCCAACTACCTCGAAGGTAAGGGTCTCCTTGTGGTAGTTGGAGGGAGTACCGAAGCAGACGGGTAAGTCGATCCGCCCGAGGGGTCACGTGCGCTTCCCCAGCACGACGCCGTGGAAGGGTGCGGCACCGCCTCAGAGCCGTGACTGGTCGAGCTCCAGGAGCTCCAGGGTGTTGGCGTAGAGGATGTTGAGGCCACTGCCTCCGTCCATCAGTACCTTGGTGAGCCGGGTGTTGCCGATGATCGGGTCAACGACGAGCGGGTACTGCCCGGGGTTTGGGACATAATTGGGGTGGTCTTCCCGATCGAAGGTGATCGCCTCCTAAGACCAGTCAAGGTACTAGGGAGTGGCTACCTCAACCGAGAAGACCTCCCGTCGTTCCCTCTTCCACTGACGTGCCGTGAGGCACGCTAAAGGCCCGCCGAAGATCATGAAGGCATTGTGCACCTCAGGGAACCCGTCATCCTTGTCGTTGTCTCTGTCGCCGGCGCCCTTCTTCTTGGCATCGTCGTTGGGGAGCCCGAGCTTGGCGTAGTAACATCGGAGCATGGTGCATTCTTCGAGGGTATGCTTCACTGGGCCCTGGTGGTAAGGGCATGGCTTCTTAAGCATGTCATCGAAGAGCCCGGGGCCCCTGGCGGGGCCTCGGGGATTCTTGCGATCCACGGCTGCGACGAGATCGGCCTCGAGGGCCTCTTGCTTCCCCTGGCACCCTTTTTTCTTTTTCTTGGAGAAACGGGAGGCCGAGGCCCCGAGGGCCTCATCCCTCCGCTTCCCCTTGGCGTCGTTGTCGGGGAAGATGGCCCCGATAGCCTCTTCGCCCGAGGCGAAGTTGGTGGCGATTTGGAGGTCGGTACGTTCCGGCCTAACTCTCGGACCATGTCTCGGCAGGAGGTGCTAGAGAGGAATGCTTGGACAATTTCCGAGTCACCGACGCGGGGCAACTCGATGCATTGCTTGGAGAAGCGTCGGATGAAGTCTCGGAGAGACTCGTCTGGCTTCTGGCGACAACTCTTGAGGTCCCAGGAGTTCCCGGGGCGCACGTATGTGCCCTGGAAATTCCTGACGAAGACCTTTACCAAGTCGCGCCAGTTGTGGATCTGCAAGGGAGGGAGGTGTTCGAGCCAGGCTCGCGCTGAGTCTGACAGGAACAAGGGGAGGTTGCGGATGATGAGCAGGTCATCGTTCACGCCGCCTAGCTGACAAGCCAGGTGGTAATCGGCCAGCCACAGCTCGGGGTTTGTCTCGCTGCTGTACTTTGCGAGGTTGGCCGGTTACCGAAACCGGGCAGGGAAGTAAGCGCCACGGATGGCCTTGCTGAAGACTCGAGGGCCAGGCGGCCCAGGAGAAGGACTGTGGTCCTCCCCGCTGTCATAGCGACCACCTCGGTGCGGGTGGTAACCTCAGGTGGGCCCATCATTGTCGTGGCACCGTCGCCTGCTGACCACATCATGGTCGACTTGCGCCTAGCGTCAGTCGCTAAGGCGGTCGTGCACCGAGGGGGCCCTGAGGCGGTCGTGCACCGAGGGCTCTCTATCTTGTCAAGGCAGCGCCGAGGGCCGTGTCGAGGTGTCCCCACGCCGTCGAGACGCGGAGCTTTCGGCCTGCTGTACCACGGTGGTCTCGAGAAGGTCTTGGAGTTCGCCGTGGACCCATCGCCCCTCCGAGGTAGATGGCTCGGGCATCGTTCAGAGTAGCATCGCCGCTGCCGCAATGTTCTAGCTAGCGCGATTGAAGATAGGGGGTTGCTCGCCCCCTTCATCGTTGTTGATGCGGTGGTAGACGTCGCGAGCCCTCCGTCGGGCTACTCTGCCATCACCGCGACCCCGCTGCTCTCGCTGGAGAGTGTCTCAGAGCTGCTGCAGAAGGAGTCGGTCTTGTTCGACCTTGGCCTGAAGCTCATGGAGCTACTCCAAGTCAAGGCATTGAAGTTCCTCGTGGGCGGGGTTCTCGTTCCGTGCTGCCGGGGGTTCGACGTGCAGAGGTGTGGCGTTGCCTGCCCCCTTGCGGGGAGGGGAGCGATTGCTTGCCCCTTCGTCTTCATCGCCCGCTCTCGGCATCCCGAGCTCGACGACGAAGCACTCACGAGTGGGATCGTAAGTGCCTTCGTCATCGGAGTCGGAGTAGCCGAAGCAGTAGTCGCTCACGGCCATGAAGCGGCACGCGAAGCCCGGAGAAGTCTGCTCCGGCCCATGCCTTGTCCTCCTCCGAGGAGTCAGCGTGGGTGTGGGTCGAGGTTGTGGCGAAGAGGTCGAGGGCGAAACGTTGGTGGCGTCCTGAGGGCTCCGCGTGAGCGGAAGCGTAGGCGGCGACGGCATTGTTCAACCCGAAGGGGTATGGGGATGGTGCCATCATCGGGTTCCGCTCTACCGAAGTCGATGCCTCAGGAGGTGGCGGGGCAGAGCTTGATGATGGGGCGTTGCTGCACGCCACCGGCGTCTTTCTCTTGCCTAGGCTTAAGCTGGACAGGTCCCCAACCAGGGACTCTGTACCAACAGCCGGGTGTGGGATACCGGTGGAGCGCGGTGCGTCGCCCTAAGCTCGTAGGGTGTCGGGGTGGTTCCGCTCGCGTCGTGCCTGGCGAGCGCGACGAGAGCGGCGGCCCGGGCGCCGCCTGCGCCTGGGCTGCTGGTGCGTGATGCCGTTGTCGACCAACAGGGCTCTAGATGGGAGGAGTACTAGGTCGTACTCGTATCCTAGAGACATGAACTCTAGGCACCTGAACCAAATCACCGTGCCGAGATGCAGTGGTCGTACGGGGTCTGCCATCCGGGACTTGTTGGGATGATTAAGCTAACACGCAGTATGCCCCCTACCTGGCGCGCCAACTGTCGGTGTTTTGGACCGGCGGGTCCTCAACCAACGAGTGAAAATGTACTGCGTGTCCCTATCCCGGATGGTGATGCAATGAGACACAAGGTTTATACTGGTTCAGGCAATAGGTGCCCTACGTCCAGTCTAGGAGAGCGATCTTGTATTTCTTGCACCGAGGTGCTCGTAGTAGGGGTTTACAAGCGGGGCGAGAGAGGGAGTTAGTCCCAGGTCTCTGCGTAGAGCGGCGTGGGTTGCTTGAGATGTTGATCTCTTACAAGGAGGGAGCGTGCATATTACAGAGTGTTGCTCGTTGCTTGCGTGCGTGTCTATCTGAGCGATGTCTCCGTGAGTGTGTTTTTGGTGTGTCCGTTCCCCCTAGGGGCGGCCCCAGTTACTCCCTTTTATAGTCGAAGGGAGGTACAGGGGCGGTACATGTGTTTGCTATGTGGTGCTCTTTTTTGGCAGAGGCGGCATGTTCGAGCCCTGTAGCTTGTCACTGTGGCGGTATGGTCGGTGGAGCAGTCTTGTCCTCGGTGCACTGGAGTGACGTGCCAGTCACGCCCGTTCCCGTGGTGGCAGGAGCGCCTTCTTCTATCGGAGGCGAGCTGGTTACTGTAGGTTTGACTGGTGCGGAGTGCCGAGGCCGGGTTGATGCGATGGCGCAGGTATGCTGATTCTGAGGCTACAGGAGCTAGGCCTTGTGCGCGACGTGGGGGCTCTTGCAGCCTGACGCAGGGTATGACGCGTTCTGCGGGCGACGTGCTGGTCCCAGAGTGCTAACAACGTAGAGAGCCGAGGCCCAGTTGATGCAGAGGCTGGGCCATCGTGGGGGCTCGGCGGGGGCGAGTCCCGAGGCTACAGGAGCCCAGAAGTGAATAGCCGAGGCTCGGAGGGAGCAGTCGGTTTTTTATGCTGATTCCGAGGCTACAGGGGCCCGGACATGACTCTCCACGCCGCACTGTCGTCAGAGCAGGTGGGGTTAGGTAGCACAGTGACGCATGGGTGTCAGTCATGGGCACAGTGCCGAGCACAGCGGCCGGTAACCCCTGCCCCGTCCTGTCCCGGATGGCAGGGCGCTGATGCGACTTCCATCTCGTCGGTTACTCCGCTGTACTGTGCCGTCGTGCGGCTGACGTTGCGGGAGTGGTTGGTTGCGTTAGTTGGACGTGGCGTCTCGGTCGAGGTGGCGGTGACGGGGTAGTTGCCGAGCCGGCCTCGGGCGAGGCGGAGAGTTGGTACCTCGTCCAAGGCCTTTCGGGCGGGACCTCGGGCGAGGCGGAGAATTGGTACCTTGTCTGAGGCCTTGCGACGTGGGTCTCGGGTGAATCGAAGAGTCGGGCGAGGCCCCGTGGTTGTCTCTTGGCTTCGATATTTATAAGTAATTTTTTCGGTTCTTGCTTATGGTACCCCTTTTTATGGTATCCGACATAATGTAAAACAGATACTAAACAAGCCTAAGAGCTACACATCTATAAAACAAAGGCACGGGTAGTGCACCCATAAAACTAAATCTCCTTTTCAGTTCTAGCTTTGATCCTGCTACAATGGCTTTTCCAAAGACTCTGCTATTAAGTTTTCCTGCTCACAAATGAGCACAAGCCAAATAGATTGAGACAGACAAATATAGCGCGTAAAACACTTGGAACTACCAAAACTCATGAAATGAATTAGCTTAATGCATGAAACCATATTTATACTTCTTCAGTCCTGAAATATAGTGCGTCATGACTTCTAAAATTTGCATTTAAATATAATACATTCTATATAATAACTATATCTAGATTGAGCAAAGCTTGTTAAAAAGAAAACTATAATTTGAGAAAAGACTCTTTAATTGGATATAATCTATCGTACAACCTAATAAAGCTCCAAAAGGGAGAGTGAGAAAGAGTGCGAGTGAACTGTGACTCTGTGAGTGAAGGCAAGCGGGGGCAAAGGTAATCAGCAATAGCAAGACAGGGAGCGAGGGATGGTAGATGGTAGAAAGCCCAAATCCCAATTCCCCATCTCGCTTGCTATGTATTAAATATATACTCGCGCTCCAGCTCACCATTTCTCCCCTTCTCTTCCCTAATCATCTCAGCGAATCCAATCGAGCCCAAGGCGATGGACCAGCAGGGTGCGGGCGGGGACGTGGAGGTGCCGGCGGGGCTGGGGCTGACGGCGGCGGAGTACGAGCAGCTGCGGTCGACGGTGGACGCGCACCACCGCTACGCCGTGGGGGAGGGCCAATGCTCCTCGCTGCTGGCGCAGCGCATCCAGGCGCCGCCGGCCGCCGTCTGGGCCATCGTCCGCCGCTTCGACTGCCCGCAGGTGTACAAGCACTTCATCCGCAGCTGCGCGCTCCGCCCGGACCCCGAAGCCGGCGACGCCCTCCGCCCCGGCCGCCTCCGCGAGGTCAGCGTCATCTCGGGCCTCCCCGCCAGCACCAGCACCGAGCGCCTCGACCTACTCGACGACGCCGCCAGGGTCTTCGGCTTCTCCATCACCGGAGGCGAGCACCGCCTTCGGAATTACCGCTCCGTCACCACCGTCTCCGAGCTCGCGGACCCCGGGATCTGCACCGTCGTGCTCGAGTCCTATGTCGTGGACGTCCCCGACGGCAACACCGAGGACGACACCCGCCTCTTCGCTGACACCGTCATCAGGCTCAACCTCCAGAAGCTCAAGTCCGTCGCCGAGGCCAACGCCGCCGCTGCCGCTGCCGCCACCACCAATTCCGTCCCTCCGCCGCAGCCGGCGGAGTAGCGGCGGCCGCAATCGGCAAGGGAAGAAAGCAACAGCAAGTTTTGGGCGTTTCTGTTATTTCACTTCTTTGGGAAAGGGTTTCTCTGAATTACAAATCTGATCATGGATGGATTTGGACGAGACAAGGAGGGGTCCGGTCAGCTTGAATTAGGTGTCATTGCAAGGGTGCGACCTGTAATAATCTCTCTTTCATCACCTAGATTCCTTCCTTTCATATTTACTTCTTCCTGAATTTGGTTAATTTCAGCTTTGTGTGATTGGAATGATTCCTTAGGAATTGCTGCTTCTCATATATATTTGCATTGCATATTCCCATTGTATGTTGTATCGCATTGCTTATTTGCAAGTAGTTATCTTCATGCATGTGATCCATGCCTAGTTTGATCCTCCTAGATTGTTTGGAGTACAAATGCAAGGGAAGCCTACTATTGCTAGCGCTACTGAATCACTGATCAATTGTCCTTCATTTAATTAGTTCCATTCATGTCTTAGCAGTTGTTAACTGGTGATGATTATGCATGGTTAATGTTGTGGTTGCAACCGAATTTGTTGAATAATTTGAGAATGCAAAAAACATTGTAGTGGCCCATTCTTTTTTTTTTCTCATCAAGATTTTAGATGAGCTGGTAGTCTGGTTCTGTGTATTTTTGTGCAGGTGTACATCATACATTTGAGTAATATAATTAATAAATTCAGATAGCTCAGGCATAGCAGTACACTAGGAAATAGCAAGCCTCGTCGATTCCTTAAATCGTACTGGTACTATATTTGATGGTTGTCTTGAGATGCTTAGCCTGGCAGGATGTTTTTGTCTCTTGCCATATTTTCCTGCTACGTGTACAGTGTTTAGGAACAAGCGTCAGATAAGCTAGGGCGACACCCCTTGTTTTGTTTTGTTTTCATGCAATGGATATGGATGTCACCATCTTTTTATTGCAGCCCTCAAGCAATTCTTATTTGTACCAGATCAGTGCGACGTGGTGAGTATATTTTCACTCATCTTGTACCCATTTTTCTTGTACTTTGCTTGCTCATAGACTTTCTGCCGATAGGGCTTTAATTGTACTGAAAAGAGGACTAATTATGCTTCAAAGTTTCTATTTATGTATAGCATTTTCGATGGCATTATCTTTTTTTTTATTCAATTCGTGGGAAAATCAAATGGTTTCCTGTAAAATAAATTATTGTGTTCCGAAGGCCGCCGCACCTTCCCCTTCTAGAAGCCATATCTTGCATTGCCTCTGAAAAGCTAAGAGCAACTCCAAGAGTAAGGCTAGATTTGGATATGGAAATTGGCTCTCTAAAATAATTTGGCCTCTCCCCGTTCGCTTCGCTGAAAATACAAGTCGAAACACTGTTCCGGCTGATTTGTTGTGAGAGAAAACACCGTTTCGGTTGAAAAAACAAGCTAAAAAAGACGGATTATAAGAGAAACGAACATGGCCAGGTTCAGCTAAAAAAGACGGATTATAAGAGAAACGAACATGGCCAGGTTCCGTAGCAGCTTGTCTAAAGCGAGCTCTCCATTTATTGATCCTGCTGCCACGTCACGTCATTAAGCTCTTGGATTAAACTCAAGCGACATGCACGGGAGTGACCTAGGCCCATCCTGAGCTCCTGGCCAATCAGCGCACGGGAATCGGAGCGAGCAAGCGTGATGGCAAGCGCGCCAACTAGCTATTTTTACCACCGAGAAAGCCAGGATATATGGCTGGGTATTTTACAATCTCGACTAAAATATCTGTTGGAGGCCATTTTACGTTGCAAATAGGCTAAACTGAACTCTATATTAGGAATAGCAGCTCTCTTGAAGTTACTCTAAGGAAGATTCAGACAGTGAAGGCGCGGGGAAATGAGTAACTGAGTGAGATGCTCACGAAACCAATGGCCATTTCCTTTCGTATTCGGCCACACCACCATATCAGGGGCGATTGCCACAGTTGAAAAATCAAGAGATTCTGGCAGCACTGCCATTGCCCATGTGACTTGCAAATAAAGCCGAGGTGCTCCACTTCCATTTCCATCTCACCAATCCCCTTTACTTCGTCAGCAACTCGGAATCAATCACCAAAAGGTTGAGACTTACGAGCAATCAGCGGTGTCTTCTCATGAGCTTTCTTCCCCCCATCTTTCTTTCATATTCTTCAACGCCGTCACCAGCTGGTTTAGATTCTTTCTGCTTTGCCTTGCAACCACAACCGAAAATGAAATACAAAAAAGGGGGTGGTCTACCGAGTGGCCGAGTGCTGGAGCACTCGATTTTTCCTTCACCGTTCTTCTTCGTCCTCTAACGCACCGCCCACCGTCTTGCCACGGCGCGGTAGGGCCTCATACTTTCTCTCCCCCCTCCCAGCCGCCACCATGGCCATGGGCGCCCCCGCCCTGACCTGGCTTGGCCGCCTCCACCGTCGCCGGAACTCTAATGTCGTCCTCTCGACATCCCCACCGCCTGGCCGGCCTGTCTCCCCCGAGCCCCTTCTAAGCTCGCCAGACTTGGAAAAGAAGAGGGAGAGAGGCTGGATTTGAAGAAGAGATCGAATCAAGTGTTGAGAGTTCGAGAAACACTGGTATATACACTCCGAAAAAAAGGTGATGGAAAAATACACATATCCATGGATGACCCCGAGTTTATGTGTTCACCAAAAGAGAAGAAAAAAGATAAGAAAAGGCGGTGGTCCCTAGATCGGCAACAACAACAAACCCTAAAAGTTCGTGCGCTGAAATTGGCTACCAACTGTACTCTCATCGTAAGGGCGCCCGCAATGGTGTTAGCTACATAGCTAGCTTACATTGGGGCCGTTCGGCTGGTGTGAAAACCAGCCGGTTTTCACTGTTCTCGGCTTGTTTTCATTGTTCACGCTCTTATAAATTCCTCTAGATTCATCCAGATTTTTCCAAATTCCTACGAACGAACAGGGCCATTGAGGTGAGAGATAAAAGTAAATACTATTTTATACATTCTTATTTTTCGGACACCCGAAGAGAAATCTAGTGCCACATTCATATGGGTCCCTTCCTTTCCTATCACACAGTAGTATGCATTTCGTATCACAAATTGTGCAACCTTGCATGCAGCGAAATCTGCACATGTCGTCCCGCGTGACAGGAGCAAAGGCGTACTACTGCTGGTGGCTGCTGTGCCGTTGGCGTTGGCGATGATGAGAGAGGAAATTAAAAGCCTGGGAGACAGTTGCACTCTCACATGGTGCTGTCTTCCGGACAATGACCGCCCCTCATCAACTTGCCCAACTTGCACTAATAATAATCAAAGCAAGAAAAGAGTGTCCTCTGCTATGCACCTCAGCCCATAGCTCGGCTGGCCAGGATACAATCATATCAAGCACAACTAATGAGAATAATTTTTTCTCAAAAGTCCAACAGACAGTGATCACCAAATCACATCAATAGGGGCAAAAAAAACATAAAACTTCAGCGTCACATAAAGTCAGGGGCAAAAACATAAAACTTCAGGGTCAAAAGTTGCCTGACGGAGAGTTGGGGTGAGAGAGGCTCGAACTCTCGACCTCAGGATCACTCATCAATTAGCTATGAGACCTACGCGCTAGCCAACTGCGCCACCACCCCATTGGTGCTAAGCCAGGCTGAGGGTTTACTAAAGATGTCACGGACCCCGGCAAAAGGAACTGGAATTCACAGCAATTCTGAGACCACAGCAATGAAGTCACTAAGTCAGCGTCACGAATTTAGCAGCTGTTGACGTTGCAGGACAGACGACAGACGCACGCTGTGCACTGTCACCGCGGCGCGGCAGTGAGCATCAGCCACGTCTTAGAGGAAGCCTAACAATATAGTCAGCTGCTGGTTACATGTAAACTTATCTATCAAGCCACTTATATATAATAACTATTAGCTCATTTATGAACTACTTATTTCTCTAACAAAATTTATTGGTTCGTATGCATAATTTAGCGAGAATTATATGAGGATGTCATGTGAAGTTATTTATTTCTCTTACATAATTTATTGGTTCATGTGCATAAGCTAGCGAGGATTATACGAGGATGTCGTGAAATTATTTATATTATGAGCTATGTAATAAAAGTTAGTGTTATTGAAAAAGTTATCTAAGATTTAGTAAATAGCTCAAGCTGTTGAGAGCGTCGTTGATTATACTTGCTCTTATCGGCTCCATCAAATTCAAGACAAGCTTTATTGTCAGCCTCACGAATATCATGTCCATGGCGCTAAAAGAGAGCGAGCGAGCGCCAATACAAAGCCTATTCACGGAGAAATTTTGTTTCACGGATAAATTATGGGGTGTTTTAATGGACTAAACTAAACTTTAGCTCAGGACCCTTCCCAACCTGAATTAAAGGGTCTACATTAGTCTCGATTGGTGTTACCAACCTGGACTAAAGAGCCTTGACCCTTTAGTCCCGATTGATAACACTAGCCCGGACTAATGTAGACCCTTTAGTCTCAGTTGATCTTATAAACCTGGACTAAAGGTCCTTCTAGTCTCGGTTGGTGTTACCAACCCGGACTAAAAGTCATCTGACGAGTTAGTTTAAAAGAAAAACATATCATCCAAAGTCAAATGTGTTGTGTAGGTGGGATAAAAAGGTACGCGCGAGGCAATACATGAGGCCTTGTGTTCGAATCCCACGCGAGGCATAGAGGTGGGTGGTATTATTTTTTTCACAAATGCTATATGCTACCCGATTATTCTATTGTCTTTGATTAACCGATTCTGTGGCCATTCGATCTGTCTTGTGCGTTGTTTGTGTAGCGTCCGATCTTCTTCTGCGGTGCACCATCGTTTTTGTTTCAGTGACATGTTGGGCCCACTTGTTTGTGTTATTGTTTTGATTTTTTTGGGACTCACGCCCGAAGGTGTGCGATCCGTTTCCCCCTTTCCCCATTTTCATTTCCCTTCGTCTTCTTCCAGGCTAGTCGAGGCGACTCACCGTTTCCCCTCCCCGGGCGCGGACGACTCGGCGCTGCCCGTGGCGGCGACTGGCCGCTACCCCATCACGGCG